TTTGAGCCACATAATTCGTTTTGGCATCGATGGATAGAGAATTAGAAACTCGATTCAGTTATATCGAAGTGCCTGAGGAATTTTTGACACTTTTGACCAAAAGGGCGAAATTTCAGACAAAAAAATCAGACATTTAGGTGCAAGGTTAGGCCAACGTTTCATGTCCGTCACGTACTCATTTTTCCGGAACAAGATAACCATTGTTTTCCTAGGAAGAACATCAAACCAATAATAAATAGTAGAACATTGTCCGAATCCTCAACTTAATTGATGTGATTTGTAGCTACGTCTCATATGCAAAATTCAAATTTTCATACAATGGCTCGCTGATTCAAAGCCGACCGGAATCCCGTATGCTATTCAAATGATTTCAACAGATGATTGACTTATCTGAAGCCATATCTGAAATTTACATGGAATCCTTACGGGTTCTGATGGGTTTCCCATGATGAAACTGCTTTTTTCAACTATGAACTGTTCGAATCATTGAAGTAAAGAACGAAAGGGATTTTTGCGTGAAACAGCCCTCAGCAAACTCATCGGCGCGTACTCGAAACAAATCACATTAGTCGGGTGGCAATCGAATTAAGATGAGAAAGTCCAACTATAAACAAAATTACTGTCAAGTAATGGTACATTAGGCGTGCTCTAAACTAGTTAACGAGGTTCATGCCCGGATGCCTTTGCAGTTCGGCCCCTGCACATGAAAATATCAGACTTCCCTGTTTAATCCGATTAATATCGATTACGGAATTGGAGAATGGCCCTAAGAAACCCCCCGGGGTGAATTTGTTCAATTTGTTTTCTGCAACTAAACTTCGTCTTGATCGGAATCAACGCCCAGTTGTATGTGGCGAAATTCGAAAAATGTGAAAAAAATGTGGTGCTAAGTGGATCATATCCGCATCCTGTTGTTCATGTGCCGTTTCATATTTCACCCGAGAAGGAAAAATCCGAGTCGGGGAGGTAAGAAATGCATATCGGCATTCTTCAGATTGCGCAACTTAATGGGTTTGGTGTGTTTATGCTCGAACGAGTGCCCTCACATGCAGTTGCACTCGCTGATTAATTTCACTCAAATGCGAAATTAGGCACTATTAAGATAATGCTGGATAATTAATGGAGCCCCCGGTTCTGTTAATTGGCTCGATTTCATGCGATTTCCTATGGCATTGATTAGAGCGCAATTGTATCATTAGTAGTAGATGTTTGATAATTAACCTGATTTTAAAACGCCCGAAGTGACACTTATATTTTTTGCATGTCCTCTGGGGTTTTTAGTCATTAATCAGTCATCAGTTAAATTTACAGACTCAAGGCTCAGATCACAATTAGTTCGCAAGATAAACGCCAGGCAAATTAGGGGACACGCCATGTGAGCCACCTTGTATGTGTTTTTGTGGTTAGTTTCTACACTATGCTCCTCAAAGCTTAAAAGTTAAAATTATGTCCCTTCTCTAGATCTTCTCGTCTTCAAAAACAGTTGGTTCAAATGTTGTTGGTGCAGACAGACAATTTTCCGGTCGCACTCTCCTTCAACATCTCCCCTTTAAAGAGGCTCGTGTATCATTACCAGCTTTTCTCATTGTACCGGGATGTCCCGAAGTGATATCATTGTTTACCTGTGGAGTATCAAAAGACATTTTCGCTTCCATTGTGCCCTCAGACCCGTTTTTGGCTTAAGCCGAGATTGTGCTTTTTGTGCTCAAACCTCGAGTACGTTTTATTCGGCAATTATCCTCTTTTCGACGACAACAGCTGAACGAAAAGCCACAGCTTTACGTTGTTCTCTTGCGTCTATTCCAAAATGTGTGTTAAACAAGCGCTTACTAATAAATGTTTGCTAAAAGAGGAATCGGCAAAATAAAGCGGCACTTGATGTAAATTTAGAAAAGCACACCTATGAGCTGTTTCAATCAGTGTCGGCTCATATGCTGACACCATTAAATCTAAGTGTCGCGTTCCTAAACACCTCATTAACAAAATTCCGAATTCAAGCGAGGCCCATTTGCGCCTAAATGAAGACCATACGACAAGTAACAGACCGACTTTAATGTTTTCTATGACTGCGAACATTGCTTTTAATTTATTGAGCACTTGACGAATCACTATTTGGTCGCGGTTGGTTTTTTGGATCCGCTATGTGTTTGGATGCAATCTGGTCGAATTCAGCACAGTTTTTTGCTATTTTGTTTTGCTGTTTGTTTTTTCATTGCCCACAACGTTTCGCTCACAATTGCCACAAGCTATCTCAGAAGCAATGAATACACTTGCTGAAATTCAGCGGTTTTCTACAAGAAAATTATCAATATATATTTATTTATCGAACACTCAGTATACAGAACGATTGAAAATTTGCGTCGTTTTTTGTATGCGCTTCTTGAGTATGTTCTTCAAAAGTTAAAATATACAGGGTGGCCCTTAAGCACAATATCAAAAGGAAACTGCGACTATAATTGCGTCAAAAGAAGACGAGCTGACCTCGAGACGACGACTGACAAGAGAAATGACTAGCTCCGCTGCTATTGATTGGCAAAGTTCTTCAAAAAAATGTGTTTTTTGAGATATCTGGAGAATGTTTTGATGGATTTTAACGAAATTCGTTGTGAATTTGTTCTGCAACTTACAAGTGGTGAATTCTTCGCTTTCGTACAAAAACTGTCAGTACTTTTTACTAGGCGGCTGGAATTATTTGATTTTTTTTGAGTTGATGCAGTCACACTTTGTTTGTCTTTAGAAAATCTTGTAGCATTCATATCCTTTGCACAAATAATGGTTTATGTTTCCTTGCTATTTAAAACATTTTAGACATTAAATGCAAACAGAAATAATTTTTTGTGCTAAAACTACGCACGCTACATAATTTTACAAAGAGAACAAAAATGTCAACAGGGGATTAGCAGATCAATTCAAAAAAAATCGGTTGCTTCCAGCGGCCAAATAAAAAGTTCTGGTAGTTTTTGTAGCAAGGCACTCAAGAATTCCTCACGTGCCCACAGCGGATGAACTCGGTTGATGATGCAAAACTAAATAATTGTGAAAAATTAAATTAAAGGCCAAAATCCTATGACAAATTAACAGTGCGATATTTTTTTTTTGATTAACAGAAAATTCGACTGTTGTCGAATACATAAGTTTCATTAAGACCGGAAAGTCCAAAAAAAGCCTGATTTCCACTAAACGTTGCCGCTCCCTATTCAAAAAATCATATCTTCAAGAATTTTGAAGTTAGGTAACTGAAACTCTGCGCGTTTATGAACAGGGGATTGCGCTATTATTGTGGAAAATTTTCTGAAAAAATTTGAAAGTCCGTTGATTTTCTAGAAATTTCAAAACTTGACGCTAAAACGCACCTTCACTCAACGTTGCCTTTCTATTAAAAATGCATAACGCTTCAAATCGGAAAGAGACAAACTAAAACTTTGCGCGTTTGCGTTAATTTACAACGTATTTGGCTGTTAACGAGGAAAATTTCAACAAAATCCGAAGGTTTCGTGATTTTCTTTAAATTTATAAACTTGCCGCTAAGAAGGGATGGGCCACTCGACGTTGCCGCTCCTTATTAAGAAAAATTATAACTTCAAAAGGTGCGAACCTAAAAAAGCGAAACTTTGTGTGTTCGCTAGCAAGGTATTGAGCTGTTAATATGGAAAATTTTGTTGAAATCTTAAAATCCGCAAACTTTATAGAAATTTCCAAACATGACGCTTAAAAATTACCTTTTTTATACCAAATTTATTTATACAGCGTACCTGTGTAATTTTGCAAAATCCTTAATTGAAGACCAACCCTTAATTGAAGACCATTATAAATTGACAGTCTTGGGGTAACAAGCACAGAAGCAATAGAAGTACAATAGAAAATCCTAAAACACTTGTTACGGGACCAATTTAAGCCTTAAACCTTTACTGTATGTAAAATGTAAAAACACCCATTCGAGAACACAGTCAACTTGCCAGTTTTCCATTATCACAAAAATAAGCCTTCGTTAATGAAACTTTCTAATATTAGATTGAGTGGTTTGAACCTCTTAGACTCGCAGTTAATATTAATGGGCGACATATCGTTTCTCCAACTTTTATCTTCATTTGTGGGAACATCAAAACATTTTGTACGTATTTTTATCTTATGCGCTTGTTTTACATTGAAAACGCTCTTATTTTATTAGTTGATAAAGCTCGTTTCGTTCGGTGGTTTTATTAGAGTTTTACGGCTTATTTCGATGGCTTAATAGGTGGATTTTGGATTGTTTGCAGCTTGTTAATGGGGGAAATTATTTCAACATGTCGGTCGCGTTGACAGAGCCGAAGTGAATTATAACCAGACAACCAAACCATAAAACCCACATAACGCCCATAAATATGGGAACGTTTCCTTTGCAACCCTGACTTCCTGATAGCGTCCGGGATGATTGATCGTCAACAAGTGTCCTAGAATTTCTGCTATTTAATAAGATGATTTAAAGGGATTTGGCACAGCATTTTACCTGTTCAAGATTATCTTTCCGGTATGAATTATAAGCGGAGAAAAAGCTGACATTTTTTCGAAAACGAACAGTATACGCACGATGACCGTCAGGTTTATTGGCAGTTACTGGGGACGTCCAGCGGGGTTCGATAATCATCTTTTTTCGTTAACAAACTGTTTTATAGCCTTTAAAATAAAGGGAATCACGAAATATATTGTTGCATGTAGATGTCGCACGTCACATTTGTCATTTAATGGGCGCCAGCACGGTCTCAACCTTTCTTGGGAATCGTAGAAATATTTCGGGCGTTTTGCCCTCAGTCTACCATACCTATATATTTTATTTAAAAATAAATGCCGTGGTTTTTCGTACTGATTTTTACTGGTTTGATGTAAAGACACTTGAGGATTTTCGGATTATTGCCGCTCCGGCTGCGAACAACTTCCTAAAAAGCTGATTATTTCCAATTTTCTGTCGGCGACAGCTTAATAACCCGAATATTCTCAGTTGTTTAAAAGAAACGCCGCAAAAGCCTTAATGAGTTTTTCCCATTGTTTCAGGTGTTGAAATATTGCGATAACCTGCATGGAAAGTGGTACTTCTCCGAAGTGCGTGCAATATTCTCCCGACGGTATCTGCTGCAGAACAATGCCGTGGAAATATTCCTGGCCAGCCGAAGTGAGTGGAAACTGTTAATTCCAGAGCCAATTTACCAATTTTTGGATTAATTTGCGTGAAAACACACAGCTAAGTTTCACAAGGGCAACCTTCTGGTAATGGTGTTTTTTTGTAACAAATTTTAGCATCGATTATGTTCGCTTTTCCGGACCAAAACACGGTGAAAAAGGTGATTAAGGCTCTTCCGCGAGTCGGAGTGGGCATCAAGTATGGCATTCCGCAAACGCGGAAGGCCAGTATGATGTCCCCCAGGCAGCTGATGAGGAACTCCAACATGACGCAAAAGTGGCAGCGACGCGAAATTTCCAACTTTGAGTATCTGATGTTCCTCAATACCATTGCAGGTGAGTGGAGGGAAATTTTTCGGTGATTTTAGCCATGTGCCGGTTACCAGTCACCCCTTCTGGAAGCTTTAAAAATAACCCAAACATGAACATGTCAAGGGACGAAATCCTCTTCGTGATGCCGGATAAAGATGTCAGGACGAATTAGGCGCCACCTTATTCACGTGCGCATTTCGGCTCGGATTAGTTCCCCCTAAAGGGAATCGGGAACAAATGGAAAAAGTTGCATTCGAAGCCCTCAGTAGGGTGACTTTATGAGAATTATATTTTCCCTATTTGTGAGCGCCAGAAAATTCAGCGCTGTTTTTTTGGAAAAAACTTCTGAAACTTTCGGCTGTTCATGTAGAAAATTTTATTAAAATCTAAAGGTCTGTTGATTTTCTGGAAATTTCCAAACTTGGGGCTTAAAAGCGATTTCCACTCATCGTTGCCGCACTGTTAAAAAATTCATTCCTCTGCAAATTGTATTGACCTAAAACTGGAACTTTGCGGGTTAATTGGCAAAGTATTTAGCTGCTGATGTGGAAAATCTCGATAAAATCTCTTGACTTTATAAATATACAAACTTGTCGGGGAAAAACGATGTGCCGCTCGACGTTGCCGGTCTTTAATAAAAAATTCATAACACCAAAACTCCTGAGAACTCACACAATTGAAACTTGGGGCGTTGATTAGCCGAGTATTTGGCTCTTGACGCAGAAAACATAATTAAAATCGGAAAGTCCCTTGATTTTTGAAATTTTAATACTTGACGCTAAAACGCACCTTCGCTCAACGTTGCAGCATTGTTCAAAAATTCATAACTCTTAAAATCGGAACGACACAAAACTGAAACCCGATTTTCCCGATAAGTTACTAAAGTGTTTGGCTGTTACTGCAAAAATTTTCATTAAAATCTGAAATTCTCGTGATTTTCTGCAAATGTACAAACTTGCTGCTAAAAAGCCATGTGCTACTCGACGTTACCGCTCCTTATGAAAAATTGAAACCTCAACAATTGGAGATCTTAGAGAACCGAAGCTTAGCGATTTAACCAATAAGGCATTTGGCTGTTAATGTGGAAAATTTGATTAGAATCTGGAAGTCGGTTGATTATCTAGAAATGTCAAAACGTGACTGTGAAAAGCATCAGCTTCACTCAACGTTGCCCCACTATAAAAAATGCATAACTCTTCAAAGCGGAAAGATACAAAACTAAAACTCTGCTAATCTCTAATTTACAAGGTATTTCGCTGCTGATGAGGAAAATTTCAATAAAATCTGAAAGTCACTTGATTTTATTTAAATTTATGAAATTGCCGTTAAGAAGCGATGAGCCACTCGAAGTTGTCGCTCCCTATTAAAAAAATCATAACTTCAAAACTGGAGAATTTACCGAATTTAAACTTTGCGCGTTGGTTGGGAGAGTATTTGTTGAGTGAAAAATTCAATAAAATCTCAAAGTCCGTTGATTTTCTGGAAATGTCGAAACTTGACGCCTAAAAGCGATTTCCACTCAACGTTGCAGCACTATTAAAAAATTCATAACTCGTCAAATCGGAAAGACACAAAGCTAAAACTTTTCCCAATAATTGAGAAGGTATCTGGCTGTTGCTGTAGATATTTCTGTTAAAATCTAAAGAGGCATTAAGTTTCTATAAATTTACAAACTTGCTGCTAAAAAACGATGTACTACTCGACGTCATCGCTCCTTATAAAAAAATGCATAAATCCACCGTTGAGCACGTAAACAAATGCAACTATGTGCGCTGATGAAACAACGATTTGGCTGTTAATGTAGGAAGTTTTATTAAAATATGATAGTGATGTGATAGTCGTTGATTTTCTAGAAATTTTCAAACTTGGGCTTAATAGCCATTTCTACTCAACGTTGCCGCACTATTAAAAAATTCATAACTCTGCAAATCATACTGAGACCAAATGGAAAATTTTCCCGATAATTGGCAAAGCATTTGGCTCTTCTCATGGAGAGTTTCATTGAAATCTGAAAACTTCACAATTTACTATAAATTTACGAACTGGCTGCTAAAAAGCGATGTGATATTCGAGGTTACAGCTCCTTACCTGAAAAAATTAATGACTCCACAATTGGAGATTAGCTAGAGATAAAGACAGCTTGCGTGCAGGTTAACAGAGAATTTTACTGATAATATGGAAAATTTCATTAAGGCGTGTGGAAATTCCTAAACCCCTAAAAGTTTTACTCCACTCAACGTTGCCGCTCCCTATTAAAACATTTATAGCTTCCAGAATAGACAAGGTATTTGCCTGTTAATGTGAAAAATTTAATTACAATCTGAATTATTAATTACGTCGGATGATTTTCTAGAAATTTCAAAACTGACGCTCAGACGCGGTTTCCACCCAAAGTTGTCACACTATTAAAAAATACATAACTCTTCAAATCAGCGAACGACAAAACTGAAACTTTGCGCATTAATTCGCAAGCTATCAGGCTCTTAATCTTCGAAATTTGATGAAAATGTAAATATCGGTTGATTTTCTAGAAATTTGTAAACTTTCCGCTAAGAAGCGATGAGCTACTCGACTTTGTCGCCTCAGATTAAATTTTTTTTAACTCCAACAATTGAGCTTTTTGAGAAATTTCCAAACTTGACGCTTAGAAATGCGCCTTTTTATACCAACTTTATTTATTTAGAGTGGACTTGTACGATTAAATTTGGTAAAAAAATTAGAAATTAGAAACAAAAATTGACTTGCCCGAGCGCTTTTCCACGAAAACAATCCGCAGAATTTCGACATTACTTCTAGGACTTTCTGTATGATGTTTATTATTATTTTTACTGTTTTTTTATTCGTCTCTGTTTCCCACACACACTTTTCAATTTCTCAGTGTTTAAATATTAAGGCCGCTAGCCAAGCCGGCGACGTAATTCAACCTAACTACTCAATTAATTATCGCCGATGCTTTTAGAACTTAATTATTTACAGCCTAAATACGTTTTGAGGGCTTTTTATTTGAAAACCTGTATATCTTCGGCATTAAAAGGCTAATGGGGGGAAGAAGGTAAAGGCGGCGGGTCTGCTTTTAGTCGACGCCGTTGAAAGGATGCCTATTTGTCTCCTGAGGCATAACATCGTTTTTACAACCATAATATAACACTGGAGAATTATTGGATAACCCGTTCTAATGGCAGGCGCATTCGTTCTCAACATGTTTAACTAGTGTGAATAAATATCTGCTATAATTACAGTTAGGAAGTGGGTAAAGATGGGAAATTATTACAAAGTTGGAGAGTCATTTCGGTTTTTGCGCTAAAAACTTATGGAAATTTGGCAATGAACACACAGCCTTTCCGCAATCAATTTATAATGTATCCGGCTGAGGCCCTGATGATGAGTAGTTTAAACACTCGAAACATGTTCCACTTTTGACAGCCTTGTATTAAATTGCTGGCGTTTTTAGTGGAACTCAAAGCAACTGGACTTGAAGTTATTTGGATTTTTCCAACCTTCTTCTAGCAAAAGAACTTTCTTCGCTTGTTCTGGTGTTTCACCAAAAGAAACTCATGGAAGTTCGAGTTAACTTTTCTTTGCCAAGCTTCTTTCCATAACTCCACTGAAAAAATACATACATGGTTTTCAATTTTGGGCTGATTTCGAAATTAAAATTGCAAGTCCTCGAAAATAGACGTCGAAATCGAAACTGTTGCGTTCGTATATAAGTTTGCTGGCGGATGGTTTTACGGGGCGCGTATTTTCGATTTCACATGCTGTAAATAGATCGGTTACATTCACACAACATGACATATAAGTTTTTAATTGAAAACCGGCCTCTGTGACAGCCGCTAATTTTGCATGGGACGTTTTTTTTGAGTTCCTGTACGCGAGCTGAATTTATGCCCCGTCGACACGCGCTCAAATTATTTCCTCCTTACCGAGAAAACGGCGCGCCGCTTTTTAATTTCACTCTAATTGGACGGGACCAGCATATTTCCGAATGCGTTTAATCTCTTTGGTTTCGTTTTTCTTTGCCCTTTTCTTCTCCCCCTGGTCTTAATTAAAAGCGATACGCAAATTTCAGAGGTTTGACGTCTTCATTCCCATCCGACGCCGTTAGGCTCTTGAACCGTCTACGATTCTACTTCCTCTATCGAAAAACCAACAAAGTTGATTTTCTGATTCTACGTGCTTCTGTTTCTTCGATTCTGTCTTCATTCTAGCTCTATCTATCGAATGAAGACCTTCTAGTTTCGAGCAAGAAATACGTTTTTCTATCGGCCATCATCTGCAATATATTCAATGTTGTCTTCTTGTGTCGGTTTCTCATGTACTGTTTTTATTGTTTTGTCGATTTTCAGATTTTATTTTCTGCTGCTTTTCAATTGGTCTCTAAATTTCAGAATTTTTTTAGCCTCATTTCCATCAAAATCACTGTCCTATACTGGGTGTTTCACTAATGGGCCTGAAAATTTAGGAGGCAAATTTTTATTACTAACGGGGCCATAGGAAAATCTTGCAAATAATGTTATGAAAAGTTCTGCAATCCACCGCAAGGGGGCGCGATTGAAAAGTCGATAATAAAACCCAATTTTCGCCGAAAATTTCCAAATGAAGCTGTACTTTTAGTAACGTCGTTAGAAAGCTGGGCAAATTTTGCATCAATTTGATTTAAGGCTCGTTGACGTTCCGAGCTTGGTAAGTGTGGGGAAAGCCATTGAAAATCTAACTATTGAAATCGGCATAACTTCTAAACTATTTTTTGGGTTATACTCATTTTAAACCGTCGTGGAAGAGAAATGTTAGTACTTGTGACTACCATATAGAGCGGAACCCAACCGGGGTAAGCAATTTTGCTAGGGGGCGCAGTGTGTGACAATAACAGTTTTTTCGGTTTTAGGCGAGTTTTTTTAATTTAGTTTTAACCGGTTTTGCTAGGCAATTTTATTCGCCTTTTGCCTAAGCTGTCATCATTATGCCCTGCTATTTAAGTTTTCCAGGTGAAACTAAAAAAACTGTTATTGTGACAATTGGCGCCCTCTAGTAATGTTGTTTGCAACTAGCGGGCACTATGATATATTCGTGTGAACAATACTAACATTTCTCTTCTACAGACGCTGAAAATTACCAAAATTGAACTAGTGGTTTAGAAGTTACAGCGATTTTAAGGTTTTAGCTTTCATTGAGCTCCCCTACTCTTATCAAGGCAGCTACACCAATAAGCCCCACCAACCAAAATGACGCCCAACTGTCAAAGCTGTCTAATGGCGATAGTAAATGTATACCTCAATTTGGGAATTTTCCGGAAAAATTGAGTTTTTAATATTTACCTTTCAATTGCGCCCCCCTACGGTGAATTGCGGAACTTAAAAATTACCTTCAGGATTTTCCTATAGGCTCTTTGGTAATGAAAAATTTTGCCCCAAATTTCCTCGTCCAGTACTTTCCGACATTTGGTTGGTGGCCGCCTTGAGTTTCTGCCAATATGCATTAAATCGCTGTGGGAAATTAACGTGAAGTACGACCAAAAATATTAAAACTGTTTTCCAAATTAAAAAAACAGAGGACGATTTTTTGACTTCGAAAAAACTCATTAGTTGGGACGCTCTGTATAATTGCCAGAACCACCAACTGCAGTTCCGAATGAATATTTGCTAAACTGGTTGTTTTGTTGTTGTTCAGGGAGAACCTACAACGACCTCAACCAGTACCCCGTCTTTCCATGGGTGATAACCAACTATGACTCCAAGGAAATGGACCTGAGCCAACCGAGCAACTACCGCGACCTCTCGAAACCGATAGGAGCCCTAAACCCTAGCAGACGCGCCTATTTTGAGGAGAGATATTCGTCGTGGGAGCACGAAACTATCCAACCATTCCACTATGGAACTCACTACTCCACTTCAGCCTTTGTATTTAACTGGCTGATTCGAATGGTATGTTGTTCAAGAAAAACACTAAACCAGAGAAACTGGGAATTTTGTTTTCCAGGAACCATTTACAACGATGTTCCTGGCATTGCAAGGTGGCAAGTTTGACTACCCCAACCGTTTATTCTCCTCCATTGCGCTGTCATGGAAAAATTGCCAAAGAGACACCTCGGACGTGAAGGAATTGATCCCGGAGTTCTATTTCCTGCCGGAAATGTTCGTGAACTACAACCGATACCGGCTGGGAGTCAATGAGGATGGTCGGGCCATTAGCGATGTGGAGCTGCCTCCATGGGCGAACACTCCGGAAGAGTTCGTCCGAATCAACCGAATGGCTCTTGAATCGGAGTTCGTTTCGTGCCAGTTGCATCAGTGGATCGACTTGATATTCGGCTACAAGCAGAAGGGCCCTGAAGCTGTTAGGGCGACCAACTGTTTTTACTACTTGACCTATGAGGGCAGTGTGGATTTGGATTCCATCCAGGACAAAGTGATGCGCGAAGCTGTGGAGAATCAGATTAGAAACTTTGGGCAAACACCGTCGCAGTTACTAATGGAGCCCCATCCTCCTAGAAGTTCCGCTATGCATCTAGTACGTGTCTTTTTGGGTCAGTTTTTAAATTCCTCATTAAAATATACAATTTTTTTCAGTCGCCGATGATGTTTTCCACTATACCCGACGATGTCTGCATGACGATGAAATTTTTATCGAACAGCCCAATTGTTCACATTTCGGCCAACACTTATCCTCAGCTGCCCAATCCCTCAGTGGTAACCGTTTCAATGCATCAGCAATTCGCAGTTAATAAATGGAACTCAGCTTACGCAGCTGTAGCTCAGTCGCCCAGCTATGCGGAAACCCCCAAAGATCAAATCGCCAATCTGCCTCTTTCCATGGATCCAGTTCTGTGTAAGTTGGAATGTAAGCTACCACCTCACTTTCTATCTTCTTATGGTCGTTTGTTTCTTTGCTTCAATAGGTTTGCACGATTTTTGGTTCATTTATCAACAGTTTTTCATGTTTTTATCTATGTTTTTTTGCTTTGTTCGCTATGGAAATTTGAAGCTTTATGCTGAAAATTGAACGATGAGAAAGATGATCATTGATGATTTCAAGCAAAATGCATGACAACCGAAGTGGAGCAAAATTTTCAAAAATCTGCGCAAAAATTGTTAATTAAAAAGCTCCTTTCGAAAAGTTGCGATCAAAATTAAGGCCTTAATGAGTTTAGTGAACCTTCAGCAAAAGAATGAATTCTGAACTTCCACTCGATGATCTTCACCTACTGCCTTTCTTCATAGTTGGCATTTCAATGTTTATTCAATATCTCAGCTTTGAGCAAAATAATCAACATTTCACAGTCTTTTGCATTTTCTTTAATTCTGTTTCAGCTTTAACCAACAACAGTAACCAACAGAACCAAATGCTGCGACGCAACCTGGGCGACAATTTCAGCCAGAACCTGAAAATCCGTGCAAACTGTTTCGTCACCACTGTGGATTCAAAGTTTCTGATCGCCTGCGGGTTTTGGGACAACAGTTTCCGAGTTTTTTCCACCGAAAGTGCGAAAATCGTTCAGATCATCTTTGGTCACTATGGAGTGGTGACGTGCTTGTCCAGATCCGAATGCAACATCACTTCGGACTGTTACATTGCGTCGGGTTCTGCGGATTGTACGGTTCTGTTGTGGCACTGGAACGCCCGAACCCAAACCATAGTAGGAGAAGGCGAGGTGCCGACACCAAGAGCCACATTGACTGGACATGAACAGCCAGTTTCAAGTGTGGTGATTTCCGCTGAATTGGGCCTGGTAGTTTCAGGATCTTACAGTGAGTTTTGGATGTTGCTCTTTTGAAGCAGAGTGAGAACTTTGTGATGTTTCAGATGGACCAGTGCTGGTTCACACGACTTTTGGTGACTTGCTGAGATCTCTGGATCCTCCAAACGGGTTCAATTCCCCAGCGAACATTGCCATGTCCCGTGAGGGTGTTATTGTGGTAAATTATGAAAAGGGCAACGTGGCTTCGTTCACCATTAACGGGAAACGCCTGCGGCATGAGTCCCACAACGATAATCTGCAGGTGAAATTGACTATTTGGTGAAAAATTGAGGTCTTCAAATGCGCTTGTTTTTGCAGTGTTTGCTGTTGAGTCGCGATGGGGAGTACTTGATGACCGGAGGCGATAAAGGCATAGTGGAAGTCTGGCGCACTTTCAACTTGGCACTACTTTATGCATTCCCAGCATGTGATAGTAGCATAAGATCTCTTGCTTTGTCTCATGATCAAAAGTAAGTTTATTTTTCATTTTTTCAACTATTGGTTTTATATTTTTTTTTCACTGCGACATTAAAAAAATATAATCAGAGAAATGTTCGATTTTTCGAAAAGTCTCATGCATTATTTACACTGAAAAAAGGGGTTTGAACGCGATGCTGATTTCCAGATTGGAGATTAAATTTTCTTTCGATTTTTCACCCGTTGGATCGAAAGCCTCAACTTTGAGAGCTTCTGCAAAATCAGTCTAAGTGTCAATTTTATTTAAATTTGACTCAACAGAAGCTTCGTTTATTGTTTACAATATTCTAAAGTTTCAATATTCTATGAAAGTCACATTTGGACTTGCGCGATGTTATACCCGTCGAAAAAGCATCCTCAATTTTGAGTGCTTCTTAAAGATCAGTCTATTCTCTAATTTTATTAAAATTTGATGCGAGGTAAGCTTCGTCCATGGCTTACACTGAGCTAAAGTTTCAACTCTCTATTCCAGTTGAATTTAGAGTTGCAATCACGGCGCTGCCCATTTCCAGATTAGAGACAGAGTTCCTCAATTAGATTTGCGCTGTTTTACACCCGTTTTATCAGTCAACTTTGAGAGCGTCTCAAAAATAAGTCTGGATTTTGTTCAAATTTAAACCAAAAGGAGTTTCATTCATTGTTTACATTATCCTAAAATTGCAGTTTTCTATTCAGATCACATTTGAAGTTGCAATTTTTTTAGTAGGCTCTGATTTCACTCAATTTTCACAGCAGCTTCACTGGGCAAAAATTTCAAGTTTTTATTCCTGGTGACTTTAGAATTACAATTTTTTGCAGTCTTGCGTTTTTTAACCGTCGAATCAATAGCATCAAGTTTGAGTGTTTCTGAAAAATCAAGCTTAGCACGTATATTGCTGAAATTTGCACTGTGCAGAGTTTTCTTGATTATTTACACTGAGAAAAAGTTTCAACGCGCTTCTTATTTCCTGGATTAAAAATTGAATTTTGAAAAATTAGTTGTGCGCAATTTTAACAGCGTTGTATCAGTAGCGTCAACTTTGGGAGCTTTTGAAAATTCAATCCAACTTTTATTTTATGTTCCACCGATCCAGTCGAATTTTGAGAGGCATTTTTGGTAGCCTCAATTTGAGAGGTTCACGAAAATCAGTCTATACGCTGATTTTACTCAATTTTCACAGGAGGGAAGCTTCATCTATGGCTTTTACCGGGCAAAAGTTTCAAGTT